ACCATCTGGTTATTATAAAGAAATAAAAAAACAAATTATTTAATTAGATGATGTTTATTTTGTGTTGTAAAAGTTAATTTATAATATAATACTTACCCCCTGGTTATTATAAAGAAATAAAAAAACAAATTATTTAATTAGATGATGTTTAGGTGATGTTTAATAAAATTTATTTTGTGTTGAAAAAGTTAATTTATAGTATAATCCTTACAATCTGGTTATTATAAAGAAATAAAAAATAATTTATTTAATTAGACAATGTTTTAATAAAGTTTATTTTGTGTTGTAAAATTAATTTATAGTATAATACTCACCAACTGGTTATTATAAAGAAATAAAAAATAAATTTATTTAATTAGATGATGTTTTAATAAAATTTATTTTGTGTTGAAAAAGTTAATTTATAGTATAATACTTACTATCTGGTTATTAGCAATAAAATTATTTAATTAGATGATGTTTTAATAAAATTACTTTGTATTGTAAAGTTAATTTATAGTACAATACTTACTCTCTGGTCATTATAAAGAATAAAAAATAAAAATATAGTTAGATGATGTTTTAAATAGAAATTATTTTGTGTTGTAAAAATTAATTTATAGTATAACCACTTACTTTCTGGGTCCATTACAAAGAAATAAAATAAATTTAATAAATTTATTTAATTAGATAAAATTTATTTTGTGTTGTAAAAGTTAATTTGTAATATAATACTTACTAACTGGTTATTATAAAGAAATAAAAATAATTAAATTTAATTAGATGAAATTTGTTTTGTGTTGTAAAGGTCAATTTGCAATATACTACTTACTCTCTGGTTATTATAAAAAAATAAAAAAATAGTTTTATTTAATTAGATAAAAATTATTTTGTGCTGTAAAAGTATAATACTTACTCTCTAAAAAATAAATTTATTTAATTAGGTACTTTTTAATAAAAATTATTTTGTTGTAAAAGTTAATTCATAATATAATACTTACCATCTGGTTATCATAAAGAAATAGAAGATAAATTCATTTAATTAGATGATGTTTTAGTAAGTAAAGAAATAAAAATAAAGAAAATAAACAAATGATAATTGCAATCATCCTTTGGTTTTAGTGGTGGTGGTGGTGGTGGTGCTATAAAATAAATATATAAACATCATTTTTTGTTCAAGAAATAAAAATAAAGAAAACAAACAAATGTGTTGTAAAAGTTAATTTATAATATAATATTTACCATCTGGTTATTATATAATAAAATTATTTAATTAGACAATGTTTTAATAAAATTATTTTGTGTTGTAAAAATTAATTAATTTATAATATAACACTTACTCTCTGGTTATTATAAAGAAATAAAAAAATAAATTTATTTAATCAGATGATGTTTTAATAAAATTACTTTGTGTTGTTAAAGTTGATTTATAGTATAACACTTACTATCTATGAAATAAAAAATAAAATTTATTTGATTAGATGATAATTATTTTGTGTTATAAAAGTGAATTTATAATAATACCTTGATATTTTTCTTCTGCAATTTCAACAGTATTTTCAACATTGTTTCCTCTATCTAATTTAAACAATTTATCAATAATGAATCAGTAATCAGTAATTTTTTAATAATTTGTTTTAATTTACCATCAAGCAAATATCCAAAATCTTCACCACCAAGAAAATTATTTAATGAAGACGTGTTAAAGATATCATCTAAGTCAGTTCCAGAACTCTAATGATAAATGGTATATTAAAAGTTGTCATGACAATTCTATAATTTGTTGGTAGATTAAGTTCAATTTCAAATGTGGGTATATTTATGAAATAAGAAAATTCACCTCTTCCCTATTCATCATTTTTAATTTTCTAGTGTCTTTGCTATAAAATCCTACTTCCATAGGAGAACCAACCATTGCCCATAAAATATGAGAAACATTTTGATTTCCATCAAACCTATAAAACAAATAAATTTTTTAATAATATATTATCATTAATATAAGGGTAATATTATATGTATTAGATACTTTTCAATGATTGTTGAAAATCCATATTGATCAAAATATTTAAATTTGATGATAATATCAAAGCACTTTTCAAGATTTTCATTAAAAATAGTTCCATAAATTTGATATTTATCACTTTTCAAAGGAGTTTTAAAATCAACCCTATAGTATTTTATATTTTTATCTTCAATTTTAATTGAATCCATCATTAATATTTGATTTTTGAAAAGAAGCTTGATTTCTTTTTGTAATGATTCTTCTAAAATTTTATATAGTGGAATTAAGTCAGCATAATAAATTACATCCCAAATTTTCAAATTTTCAGGCATTATTTTTATCCACTCAATTACTGAATTTCTCTTTGTTGCAAGTCCATTTATGTTAAAAAAAATTTTATTATCAAAATTAAAATCATCATTGATCTTCCCATGAATCTCGTCCCATTCTTTTAACATTTCATCAAGTTCTTTGTTGTTATTTATGCTTAATGGATCTATTTTTTTTTCGATTTTTCTTTCTGTGAATAAATTTTCTAAGAATAAAATAATTTAAGTCAATAATAATATATAAAAAAAAAAAAATTTTTCTTAAAGATCAATAAACTATATAAATTTATAATAATTATCATTATACCATTCAAATCCAAATGTTGTGATCTTGATAATTTTCCACCTAATATAATTTTTTTACATAATAAATGGCCATATTTACTAAATATAATTTCAAGTTCATGATAAGGATTTTCTGTATTTAAAGCCTTTTGTACAGCTTTAATTAATTTATTTGATGGTACAAAATTTTCAAAAGTCAATTCAATTTGTTGACTACTAATCTCATAATGAATTGTTTGTTTAAATTTTAAATTCCATAAATCTTCTACATCTAAATTCCATGAATCTTTTACTTTTTGTCCAGATTCTAAATTCCATAAATCCTCTACATTTTGTTCAGATTCTAAATTCCATGAATCCTCTATATTCTGTTCAGATTCTAAATTCCATGAATCCTCTATATTTTGTTCAGATTCTAAATTCCGTGAATCCTCTATATTTTGTTCAGATTCAAAATTCCATGAATCTTTTACTTTTTTTTGTTCAGGTCCAAAATTCCATGAATCTTTTACTTTCAAATTAATAAAAGGAACTTCTTGACTAAAGGACTTTATCATTTCATCATTAATATCTTTAATATCACTTTTTAAAAGATAAGAATGTAATAATGAATTTGTGATTGTCAAATTGGTTTTTATAGAATCAGTTGGATTGATTTTATTAATTTTTGGATTTGTTGAAGAACTAAAAGTTTGGATAGGTTGGACATTTCCTTTTTTCACACCTCTTTCATCAATAACCAATCCATATTGAAGTTTAAATTTCTCAATCCAAGATAGTAGAATTTCATCATCATGTGAATTTAAATCATCAAGACTTTGTTGTTTTTTTGAACTCATTCCACTTGATGTATAAAGATCTTTATATTTTATAAAAAAATTTGATTATTCAATTAATACTAGACCAATTCAACAGCCACGTTTTGAAAAAATGCATAAAAATGTTGGAAATAATTTATAATTTATAATAATAGAGTACCTTATTTTAAAAATAAAAATAAAAAAAATAAAACAACTTTGAATTAAAGTTATTAAAAAAATGGCATTTACAAATTTAGTAATATCATCATTAAAGAAATTTTCTTTTTTAAACATGAAAAACATTAAAAACATTGTTATAAAAATCGCTGACAAAGAATTCAATCAATTGCTTAATGTTGACCTAAAATTATCAAAAGTTCGTATATTTATCTTAAAAAATCCTAAAATTCGAAGTCATATTCGTTACCCTGAAAATACTTTAATCTTTCAACATAACGATATTAATATAGATATAAACAAAGAAAGCAAAGCTTTGTCAGAGATTCTTGTTGGTAATGAATTATTTATTACATTCACAAACAATGAACCTACTGATGTTTCATTTCAAATTGAAGAAGAAAAGCATTTTGAGGAGTTACCTTTAAATATGAAATTGGACGAAGTTAGATCATTCGTTTTAAATAAACGTTTAGGTTATGATAATTATTCATTTATAAATTCAAACCATGGTGAAATAGAAGTAAAAAAAGAATATAAGTATACTTTAGATAAAATAAAAATAATTAATGAAAATGATGAAAACATTATAAGTTTAAAAAAAAAAAACGAACTTAATTGGTTAAAGTTAATTGAATCTTGCGAGTTTGGATTTAATTTAACAACAGAGGGAACTAAAAAGGCTCCCAGGAAAGCAATTACAATTCATGAACCCAGATCCGAAAAATCTAATCCACGATTAACGGGGTTCGTTAAAGAATGTAATAACGAACGGGAAAATTTATATGGACGTAACATAGTTTTTGGCGGCAAAATATTATCACCATGGCTATCATTTGGTATGGATTTAAAAAGGTCAATTGGGTTTGAAAAGAAATTGGATACAGCTACTTCATATTCAATTCAGAAATCAGAATATGCGTCAATTGAATTTACAGAATCAAATTATTATTTAAAACCTGAATTTGAAAATGATGTTGAATCTGCAGTTAATCCAAAGTTATCATTAGAAGAAAAACGTGAAAAACTTGAGGGAATCATTGAAAATTATGGTCAATTTATATCCAAAAAAATTGTTTTTGGTGGTAAAATTATAAAACAACGTACAAGTGAAGCAAATAAAGGTAAATTCAACCCTTTTAATATTATAATATAATATTATATATATATTATTTTTAAAAAAATTTAAAAATAATCAGCGATTAAATCATTTTGTTAGTTGGAGTATCATCTTCAAATACAAAAGGTGCCGAATCAAATATAAACCCCCCAGGAATTGTTGGTGCATCTGCATCTGCAAATAAAACAAAGTCAGTAAATGATATTACAAGATCAATTAAAACTGAATCATTTGAACATACAATAGGAGGAAAAAAAAGTGCATGTTTAGATGATTGGTATGAATCTCTTCGTGATCCTGATCAGTGGGATATAATTGAATACAATGATATTATACCTATATTTGAAATATTACCAGATGATTTAAAAGAACAAGTATTGAAAATCTTTGGCCAAAAAATACTTGATGGTAGGTGACTTACATTACATTTGCTTATCATTATCTTAAAATATTTATTTCAGATAATTATTTGCTAATTTACATCTACATATGAATACATTGATATAAGTTAAAACTTGCGGAATTGTCTATGATACTGAAAAAAAAAAAAATAAGGCTTATGTTCATAAATTGGAGCATGATATTCCAGATATTGAAAAGTGTCAAATATTTTCAACAATAATGGAAGAAAATAAAGATGGGAGTAAAAGCAAAAATAAAAATTTGTTTAGTACTAGAATTGAATATATCGGGAAAAAAAGTCCTGCAATTGTAATTCACAAAATTAATAAAGATAAATCAAAGGATAAACATTACTTAAAAATTAGTTATATAATCATTGGATATGGGTTTAGATCTAAACTTGGTTTAGATGTTAAATTTATTGGTGAAGAAAAGCAAATTAAACGTGATAATAATAGATTTATTGCAGAAATTGAAAGACCAACAAATGAAGGATCAATAATTGGATCTTGTGTGATTAAATCATATCAAAATCCAACTAATCCAGAGGATTCAAAAATTATCAGTTTACATTTTCATCCATCAGATAAAAAAGTCTGTATTCACACTTATGACCTTAATACCAAAGAAATAATTGAACCTCCCTTGAATGATTGTTATATTCATTATAGGTAAATGTATACTTGATTATTTATTTTTATATTTGATAAACAAGCATTTAAAAATAAATATTAACTTATTATTATTATTATTATTATTATTATTATTATTATTATAAAAGTGCATTTGAATTCTCGGGATCTGGTGAACCTTATGGTAAAACAAGGCTTGCTTTTAACTATGATAAAAAATTTTTTAAAATTAATAAAAACTCTATGTGGATAAAATATGACAACTGCACACAAAATCAGTCGATTTTTATGAATCTAATATTTGATTGTACTAATAATCAACATGAACCAGTAGCAAAACCAATAGTAAATGTAGTATTTAATCCTAATGTTATATTTTCAGCACCTTGTGAAAAAACTTGTATTTCAGGGAATGATTCTTTCAGCTTTTTTAAAATTAATTGATAATGAAATAGAATCCCACAGGTGATCCAAAGTAAAGTTTTTATAAAAAATCAAATTTATTGGAAAGAGTTAAATCAGTGGCATACAATTTTTTTTGTTCCTTTCTTTCTGGTTCATACGTTCAATCAATATTAAATTTAGTGTTAGTTATTTCCAAATAATATATTTATTTTGTTAAGTGTGTATTAATTTATTCAACGATATAACTTATAAATGTAATATATAATAATATAAATATAAATGTAATATATAAATAATAATAAATGTAATATAATAATAATAACAATAAATTTCCGAGGCGAGCCAAAATCAAATCGCGTGAATTTGAAATTAAAATTTTAGGTGAATACAAGATTCTGATTTCGTATAGAATTCAGAACGAAATGTTTTCTGCATAAATACCAACAGAAACTTTGCACTTTCAAACATTTTGAACAACAATAGAGAATTCACTCGCATCTTAATCTTTTTTGTATTATTTACAGGAATTCCAACTTCCAAACATTTTAGTACCATAGATCTTTTTTAATGCTACATAATCTTACTTTGTTGTTGCTCGCCAACTTTTATTGCTTTATTCATAAGTAAGGTGTGATTTTTAATTTGTTAAATTCAATTCATAATAACAAAATTCTATCATCGGAACGAATATCAAAGGGTTACTTGTATTCCAAATGGTTTCTGCCAGCCTTAGTTTAAATTCTAGCATTAGAAGAAATATTTGAAACAAATTATTATATTCCCAAAGTTTTTATTAGAACACCAAACTCGTTCATCTTATTCCGTTGTGCAATAAAAAATGTTGTTAAATCCGTTTTCCAAATAAAAGTAATCATGGATTTTCTAAAACAACCAGAGATATACGGATGAAAAGAAAAAAGAGTATCACAACTGAGCGATTAATTTAAAAATCGTATTCTTAAAAAAAAAAAAGAATTAAAAGATATCAGAATTTCAGGAAAACTAAAGATTGTCAAAGGATGGTCTTCAAGAACTATTGTTTCTAAAGAATGTGAAATAAATGTCTATGAGCCAATAGATCTTGATATAAACGAACAATTATTACTAATGAAGATATTTCAATTAATCATTATTGTCTTGCGCAGGCAACAAAATTAAACTTGACTAGGTCAAATATGCAGTAAAATGCACTGTTTTAAATAAAGTTCAAACTTTTGATAGGTATATCAGTGTAATATCAGTGTTGAAATTTCGGTGTGTAACCAGTACAAATTTAGAAACTATCTCCAAAAATTAAAAAGGTTGATTGGTGTGTAATGTTACACCCCCCGCATTCCCCGCACCGAATTTTCAACACTGAGGTATATTTTACAAACATTTAGCCATTGTTAAACTTTTTTTTTTTTGCCATGTTGTGAAGTTCAAAATAATTGCTTTTTATTAGATTAATAATTTACCAGGCTCACCTCTATAATGGCACTCTCTATAATAGTGGTTATTACACATGGGAGTAATTACCCCTGATATTTCGGCAATTCGACATCACGGCAGTGTAATATATCAAAATAGCTGAAATAAATTACGCCATAATGTTGAATTGCCGTAATGCCGAATTCAATAGCCGATTTGTAATTTCACCAATTTCGGCAATTCATCTTTTTTAATAAATTTTTTTTAGTGGTTTTCTCTTTTTTAAATGGCCCTCAGTATTCTATTAAATGACTTTTTTCCTTTTTTTGGGATGTTTTCTTTTTTTTAACGCTCTACTTACAATTTTGGAGTAAAAATAAGTTTCAATGTATTTTTATTAAATATATTATTTTAATAAATCAATTTTTTTTCTTATTTTTTTTTTTAGGGCTTTTTTTCTCTTTTTTTTTTACGGTTTATAGTCTCGGAATTAAGGTAGGTTTCACAATAGTAATAGTAATTTAAGCTCTTTTTCAACAATTCGGCAATTCGGTAATTCATACAGCGATGTAATTCATTTCAACATACAGTGGCGTATTAATTACATTGCCGTATTAATTCGGCATTACCTGATCTCCATATATATCTGCATTCATGAAATTTGGATACTGCATGAAATCCGAAATTCATGAATTCATAGATCAAATAACTATTATTAGAGGTTGAACCAGTTAAAATAGGTTATTATTATGGAGGGTTCACTGCAATAGAACTTAGGAATGTACTGTAACATTATGGCAGGAAATTTTACCCTACACAAGACATGGAAAGATATGGCAAAGGCCAATGAGACCATAATGGGCTTATTGAAGTGTAAGGTTCATGATAAATTTTAAAAGAAATAAATTATAGAGAACACAAAATTTAAATTAGACTTCTATGGGCTGGAGGTGATGGGGTTGAGGCAGCATATTCATAATCTATTGGATTATGAATCTATTTAGATAGACTATGTATCTACTATGTGCTTGATGACAAGAATTGGTCACATATTGATATGGCCCATTTTTTAATTTTGGCCACATTGGTCAGGTAGTAAAAAAAATAGTATTAATATGCATCCCAACAATGCATTGACTTGTATGACATCACTCATTTGTGGGTTATTGGGGTGGAGCCATTTTACATTTTCAGCCATATTCAAGTGAGGTGTATTTTGCATTTTTGGAGTGTTAAATCGGTTGTTAAATTGGTTGTTAAATTGGCTGGTAAAAATTCATATCCCGCATTCAGGTTCCAAGATGTAACAAACATGACCATTGTGAACACCTGTTCATAATCAACATTTTTTTCCTGGGAAAGTAAACTCAATAACCTCTACTTATAGACAAAAAAACACTCCAATTTCACTTTTTACATAAATAATATCGTTGCTGAGTCATATTATCAGCAAACAAACGTGTAGAAATCTGCTTAAGAACTTCAGAATTTTCAGGTGTAATATCTGAGGCATCGGCTATTAACTCTGCATCAGCACCTTTAATATTTTTCTCAGCCGTCTTGATAGTATTAGATACTTTTACATGAGTAGCTTTGGCCAAGCTAGTGTCTTCTGCTGAAATTAGCTTGAGAGATGCTCCAGTACTAGTAATAAGACTACAAAGAATTTCAGTGATATTCGACCTCGATATAAGTCTCTATTGCCGGAGATGAATCAAGTGCATAACAATCGGCAATTTTATCCCATTCACGATGCTGCTGGTAAATCCCCAGGTCTTATGGCTGAAAGTTCTGCACGAATAAGGTCACGATTTGGTTCTTTAAAAATTTCAGAATGCTTTTTACTATTGTAAGAGGAATGAATTTAGTTTCTAAAAAAATTTTTTTTAAAAAAGGTGATTGATAACAAACAAAATTGTTTTTGTGTATATGTGGGTCAGATTGAATAGGAAATCTTACTGACAAATAATTTTGGGTATTGATTTGAGTGTTAATTGTTGTTTTCTTTTATTCAAGAGAATTGTTTTGAAAGTAGGTATCGTTTATACGGTAATTAGAGAATGTTATTATTATTAACTTTATTGACAAGTATAGATTTATTGTTAATATTAAATATACAATAGATATAATGATTACTTCTACCACCTAAGTGTGTATATATATCCTTGTATCAACTGATTCCATTCGAACTTTCATAAATTTATTTTATTGCGTAACCAACAAAATTTGATAATTTCTATTATTATTATGCTCACATTTTAGCCAATTTGATGAAATATCACGTTTTGTTTGCTTAGTAATACTTTGCTGTTTCATACCAATGACTTTGATAAATTCCAACTTTGATTTTTTGAATAAACCTTGGTGGGGGCTAGATTATGATGACCGTGATGTCCATTATTTCCTCTCAGATACCAAGCGTCTCCAACGTGCCATATCATCAGTTGTTAAAAGCGAAAATGAACTCTTTCGGAAGGGATACATTGACCTTCATCGTGAACGTTATTTAATCGAATGTATTTCAGCAGAAAGCAATATAGAACTTACTGTTAAACATGTACGACAGCTGTTAAAGGGATCCTGGTTTAGAACTTTTCTGGACTACTTTTGCAGAATATTTTGTGGAAGACACTCCCACTATTCACGCTTGGCTAAAAAAGTGCAAAACCTCCACAACGCCATTTATAAAACTTTCCCATCCATATTCTTTCCTAACCTTTCAATAGATAACTTTACACCTTTGCTGGCACAGGAATTGCACCAACAGATTGGCGACGGGTTGATTGAAAATGCGGGTCAGTACAGGACGCAATACGTTATGGCAGCACAAGAAAATTATATTTATTTGGCACCAGATTTGATAAAGGAGAAAATGAACAAGGTATTCCGTCAATGTCAAGAAAAATTTAGGAGGGAAGATTTGCAGTTAGAGGATGCTATCAAATTTGGAGCATGCTTTCTCACTCATTTCTTATATATCCACCCTTTTAAGAATGGAAATGGAAGAGTAGCTAGGTTACTTTTGAGCTATTTGCTATCAAAGTTCACTGTGGTACCACTTTCTTTGTATACAGGAGCGAAAACACGGGATGTTTATTTACAGTGTCTGCGTGAATCAAGGTATCGTGATCCATTTACTCCTAATGCACTTGCAACTTTTATACTCGAGAACATACATTTGACATCCCACAACATTTGTGCAGTGATGGATATATATGTTCAGAATGATACATCTATGGAATGATCAATATATCTTTTAACACACATTGCAAAAGGAATCTGTCGTAGCTTAAAAAATTTATTATATAACTTTCATTTATTTGTTTTTTTAAGAATTCTTTAATGATTATTCCACAGAATAAAATCTGATTATTTCAATGTGCATTTAAATCAAAAAGTCACTCTTGATGGACTATTCCCAAGTTGCAGTATTCGTTCCTCCAATCCATTTTTGATTGATATGATGAATGCTTTTATATTTTATTGGCCCCAAATGGTTAATAGCATACATGATTATGGTTATATTTTTTGATACACACCCAATACATGTGAAAAAATATGATCAATATTATATAGCAATGAAAGTCTTTTTTATTAATTACAGGAATAATCGATTCTTTTTTCTAGATTTCTCTATAGGGAAGATTGAAATTTGTTCCATTTGTCTATGTGATATAGATGTAGGCGTATGGAATAGTAAAGACATGTTGACAATAATAATATTCTATAAAACCTTGGATATTTTTATAGATCAATGAAATATTTTATAGTTAGTCTGAATATCAAATCTGCAAAACCAACAAAGTCTTTATGAAATTCAGTACAATTGATTCTCCTGTTGGATACATCGGAGTCTTGGTCGAATGTAAATGGTAGTAATGATGTATTTCATCCTCACCTCTCGTGAGAATGTTTAAATGCATCTTACGTCCTACAAAAGTTCTGTGTTATTAAAATCTTATACGAATGCGGATCATAAAAAAATAAACAGGAAATATATTACTGGCAACCTTTATTTCCAACAATTTCGAATTTCTTTCTCTAGTTTACATATCTTTCAAGTCCAACATAATCTATCATTAGTTTCATGATTTCACAATGTCATCCTATCTTTTTTGTTTAGTGCAGGATAAACACAAGCACTTGACATACACGATTTTGTAAACTTCCTATTGCATTGAAACTCGAACAATGATGTCTGTCCGTCTTCCCATTTGATCATCACCTTTTCTACCTGAATTGGCAACACTTTGTTCTACTGAAGTACTGATGAATGCAACCTTCTCAAAAGGAAAATTTTTCACAAATTCATTGCATTTTTCTTGTACAATTAGAGAGGGAGATAATGGTACCATCTGCTGTGCAGATTTTATAAAAGGTTGTCAAAAATATCCAGTTAACTGTTGTATTAACTCTGAATCATCACTAATGACCTGGTTGGCTAAAGGATCCTTACAGGATAATTCAGAAATTGATACCTTATCCACGCCAAAATATAAATGCTGACAAATCAAGGACATAACTTTTTTGAGCCTTCCCTTCTTTGATCCGAACTGAAAGGTTTTTCTTTATTGCACTAATGCCTTACATACTGCAAACACCTACAAAGGCATTACCGAACTAATGTAAAATATAATAGTCTCTATTAAAGTCACTTAAAAAATTTTATCTAATACATATGTTATTATACATTTCATCAACTATGGTTGTTGTAAGAAAACCTATAGAACATCATATCAAGAATTATATCAATAGGGTTGCATAAAAACTTATATGTTGTCTCAATTTATCTCCACTTCCAAAACTGTAAGTATGTCTAATTGCTCACCATCATATTTAGAAATTAATCATAATGCATTCCCGAGCACCTTCATAAAATCTTTTTCAATTTTTTTCTCACGATCTTCTGTCCATCTACCCTCCTCAATTTGCTTATGTAAAGTAGTAAAGGACATTTATAGAATAAATGGGCTTATAAGAGATTAAAAGGCTTCCACTTTTTATACAGAGAAGATTAATGTTAGAATAAAGTTTGAATATATGGATTCAATAAAATCACTATAAAAGCAATAATCATCCATAAATCCCATACACTATCCTTTTTAAATAGTTTCATTCTACGTCTTTTTTCGGATCTATAGAATTAGCAGAGAGGTTGAAGCAAAAGAATGCAAAGGAATTGTGTTATGTATGCATTATTATTATGGTCAGTGCTGAAATTCTAAAAATACTTTTTGTTGCACAACCCATATTATGTGGATAGATTATCAAATTTGAGTTTCTTCCATAATATTAGAAACAGTAGTAGTAGTGAGCATAAATTCGATTTTAATCTATACCGCACCTCATTTATAAAAACATATAGAAAAAAAAATGTAAAGCGATGAAGCAAACTTTATTAAAAGTGTTTATTTAGCTTAAATTCTTTTCTGCTGTATTGGAATTTAGATAGGTGATTGCTGTCCCGGTTTCACTTTTTTCTTTGCATTCCATATAATATGAACCAAATAACCGTGATAATCAATAAGATAAGTAAAGAATATGCCCTTAATGGTGACATTATAGTACTTTTACAGAGTGAGGGTGCTACTGCATCTGCCACAATAGGAACTGCTTCTATACCTCCATTGAAATTCGAGGATGCGTTTCAACTGGAAAAGAAATAGTAGATTCTTGTTTTTCAAGATACGGAGTCACATTTCCAATTTCCCATATATGATTGTAGGATTTTTCCTCTGAAGGTATAGGAATAAGCTTGGTATCAATGTTTTTGTACGGCTCCGTATGAGTTGAAGACTCCACACTTGCATTATTTTTCGTAAAAAAATTTACTAAGATCTTTACAGGTTTACTATCTGCAGAAATATCTTTAGAAATTGGTATATTTTTTTCATCCATCTCGCCGTCGATCTTGATTGGTTCTGAAGATAGCTTGGATTCTAAAGAGTGTATTACCAATTCTTTTGATACCAGTTCAACCTCCAATTTAGATAATTTGGTCTTTGAGGTTCTCAAACTCGGATTCTTTTGTGAACAGTAGACCCTCCACTTCAGGTAATTTGGTCTTGAGAGTCTCAATTTTGGATACTTTCAGAGACGAGTTTTCTTGGGCCGATTCCAACTTCTTTTTACCGTAGACTTGAGCGATGTTATTTCTTTCGATTTTATCTGTAATTTGTTGCTATAGTCAACAAGAGATTCCTGATTGCGACCATCCTAAGTTGTAAGGGCAATATTTTCTATCTTTAATCACTTGGCCTCATTAATAATTTTCTGATTGTGGTGCACTATTTCTGATTCTCGTCATTGAATAGCTCTATACCACGACCCCACTGCTCTTTTTCCTTATCCCACTACTTTCTTTCCTGATTAAAGTCCTTTGTCTGTATACATTACGCTGCAATTGTTCATTGTGGTCATTTAACTTTAACTCGGATATAGACATTATGCTGAGATCCATAGATTTCTCAAGTTTTTGTTCATGCACACTGCCAAGCCGATATTCTTTTGAGTTGATATCTTGCAATATGTGCACATTGGCCATAAATTTTTTCTCGTATATTCTGAAAAAAATAATCAACGTTAATGGATTTTATATATGTTGTGCGTGAAAATCAATATTTAAAATATTTGGGGTGGGTGTTTGAATACAAAATTCTGATTGGCTAATTTGAATTTCACGCGCGTGAATTACAACAGATATTACTGAAACTACAAATACATCATCAAAACCATGCGATCTGATGCAGTCAAACTATCACCAACAGACTATGATTATATTATGCAATATAAAGATGCAAAATCCAAACCTCTAGATATGCTTGGAGACAAATATCCTATGTCGTATACTCGTTTTTATCAGATATGGAAGGGAAAAGAGGTTTGTACAAATACTTGGAAACTATCTTTAGCTGATTCAGAAAATGATATTCCGAAACCTGTAGTTGTGGGAAAGACAAAAAAGAGATCCAAATTCAAATCCGTTCACATATCTGATCCGCCTTCTGATAGTAAAGATTTGACAGAAAAAATAGGCGGTGACTCACAAAGTTCGGTTGTTTTTACTACAGATGTAATTACCCGGCTTGAAAAAGTAATAAAAAGAAAGATAAGAACTTATCCATTAGTTTTCATTTACTTTCTACTGCCTAATTCATCTTTTCTTTATTCATAACAGATTCTCGGAGCTTTTCATAATTTGCTTGTAGTATCTTATTGTCGTATAATATTTTTTCGAGTTTCTCATAACTCATGTTTTTTTTAAACCTATACTTGGCTCTTCGGAAATAGAAATTGCATTAACGTGATCTTATTTTCAACCTTGTGCATCGTAACTGGAATGTAAAAAGCTTTCCCATTGCAATGAAGCTTTATTTCGGATTTAGGCCAATCCATAACAGATCCATGTTTTTCAAGGAAAGGATTACTTAATATCAATATAGACTTTTCGTATTCAATAACTACAAAATCTAAATAAAATACACAACCTGGAACTAGGGTTAATGGTACATTATAAACAATTCCAATTGATTTTGTTAGGACTTTGAAATAAAACTTCGTGTTTTCCCTACAAAAAGTTTAGATACTTATTTCCTACTTATTTCCCACTTATTTTTTTACAAAACATACTTGAATCAAAAAAGATGATTCACTAATTATTTGCAAAATATGTATGAATATACTTATTTTACAATTAAAACATTCTTATTTTTTACAGTAATAGGAATCTAGATATCCTAATACTAATTGTACACTTAAAAGTTTACCTCTGAATTTTAATAATTCTTAAAACATACTTATTTTGTAATTTACTTTATATCAAAAAAATACAATAGCATATTTCAAAGAAGAGTTATTAATAAATTTAAAGTTGAAACTATATATATATATATATATACATATATAATAAGCTTTCTCTAGCAAAATTCTATTCTTAATATGTAATAATTTAATAAATTCTAGTAGAAAGCATATCTAAGTGACTGGGTTCTGTAATTACTTGTAAAAAGTAATTATTTGTTCGCAATCAATACAAATGACACATGAAATCACAGAAACAAAAAAAACGTGATTATCTAACAACCTATGACATTAACTGTGCAACAATACATGTTTAATTGTTATTGGTTGAAAATAAAATTTAGATTTATATTTTTTTAATTATCTATATAGATAATAATATAAAGAATTGATTTTTACAATAGACCTATTGTTAATTTAATAAAAATTGAAAATGCTTCAAGAATATATAAAGTTTCTTCGCGAAATGAGCATGCGGATGGTAAAAAATTTTATAAATGATTCCAAAATGTTATCACATGAATTTTGATATTTATTTATTTTTATTTTAGCTTGCACAACAAATTTTAAATTTTTTAATGATAATATGTTCGGCTCTAATGTTATGGAAAACGTTATCACTTTATACCAATAGTGAAAGCCCAATTGTAGTGGTTTTGAGGTATGATAAAATTATCATGTAATTGTGTATACACTTTAAAAGATATATCATTGTATTTATATATGTATGTATGATTTAGTGGTAGTATGGAACCAGCATTTTTCAGGGGAGATTTATTATTTTTAACTATGCCAAAGGAACCAGTGAAAGTAGGTGATATTGTAGTATTTAAGATTCAAGGGAGAGAAGTGCCAATTGTTCATAGAGTAATAAAATTACATAATAAGTGAGTTTATTTTTGCAAAACTTTTTTTCTTGTTTTTTTTTGTAACTATATAATTATATATATTATTAATTTTTTGATTTAGAGCTCAATCAGATAAACAATACATTTTGACTAAAGGGGATAATAATCAAGTAGATGATAGAGGTTTATATAATAAAAATCAATTCTGGATTCATAAAGAACATTTAGTTGGAAAAGTCACTGGGTAAAATATCAATATTAATAAATAACACTGATAATTATAATTATAACACTAACTCCATTATTATTATGATTTATTAGATTTCTGCCTTATGTTGGAATGATTACTATAGTAATGAATGATTATCCTCAACTTAAATATCTTTTAATTGGTGCTCTTGCTATATACATGTTAATAAATAGAGAATGAATGAATAGTCCTTATTACTATGGTTATCACCTCTACTACTACTGTTATTATTATTGTTGTTGTCATTGTTATTGCAACAGTCACTCTGGATATAAAAGCCTCTGATAAGAAAGCTATAATAAAATTGTATTTAAATCCTCTCATGATAGTTCCAGAGACTTATAGTATATCAAAAATGCCTGTGTATTTTTTTTTTTACACGAATATATCAACTTTCTTCTCGTCATCACCAACACTGAAATATTTCTCGTTTATTTTCTGCTCCGTAGAATTCTCATAATGCATTTTCAAAATGTTAATTTAAATGGGATTTCATAAATAGGTTGCCTAATATAAATTTGATGGTAGGAATTCATATTAATATTGTTTTACCCAACCTATCCATGATGGAGTTCTGAAGCCATTTATAAAAAAAGACTGGAACATCTGATAAATGGCGCCATAAGAAAAATTGCATCGAGAACATTAAACAGAAAAAGTAATTTACATATATTTAGAGAGACAAATACCAATTGATTACAAAAAAAATGGTTTGCTTTTTATAATATTTATAAATACAGTCAAACCTTGTCGCAGAGGATGAATAGGACACATAAGAAAATTTTATTTATAATCCGTTGTAATCTTGCTACAACGGATTTTTATATGTTTAATATGCGAAGCAAAATTTTTAAAAACCCGTTATTGGTAAGAATTTGACTATAATCTGTTATGGTGAGGTCCTCCGTGACAAGGTAATGGTTGCATAATTGATTTTTTAAGGCTCCGAACGAATCAACGAAAGATATATAAATTGAATAAAATTTTTATTTTTTTATAAAGTAGGAATTCTTAATTAAAAGTTTCCAGTTCAGATGTATCGACATCACTAGCATCTTCATCTTCATTATTATTTTCCCGTCTTCGTTATTTTCATTTATGTTGCATGTTTTAACTTTTCTTTATTTTTATTTATGATTAAAATAATTTAAAAATAGTTTCAGATGCTATCTATTTCTTCTTATATCATGTATGCATGAAAATGAAGGCCAATCCCTTTCAGATGCTCCCGAAAGTGTAAGATTAAAAGAGTTTGTATATATAGTAATAGCAACGTTAGTTAATTCGGTGCAACTAAAAAAAAAGTTTACTGAATCCTGATATTTATCATTAATAACGATAGGGATGAGTTTGGGGTTGGAAAAGCTGCATGGACGAACATTGTACGCAATTTCTCAAGGAGACTGACTGGGTTAAAGTTTCTTAAGATATGCTCGTAAAATTAATGTGAAAGGTAACCTCTGCGACCCATTTTTCCTAACTGTCTTTTACCTAAGTTAGCATGTCCAGATTCCGATACCTTTATAATGAACTCGTATGGTTTCGGTACATTAACAAAAATGTCTAGTGCATTCCAAAAAGTTTGGTCTTGAATTGTATAAACAACTTTATATTATTATTTTTGATGATTAAAACATTTGGATGTGCTATTGCCATAATCTAAAATTTAAATGATATTTCATTAATATGTTAAGAAACAGAATGTCAACTTACTTTTTAATTGGCAAACATATGCGCATTGCAATAAGTCATCCACCTCTTTTCTTGTTGTAAGATATTCGAGGATCATAAAGGAAATTATGTTTGGCAATAATTATCACGAAAAACACAACGACGCGGATTATATAATCTTTTGCCCTATATGCATTGTAAGTGTTTTGGTTCTTGTGACCGACACAGTCAGAGTTTGCGCAAAGGTTGTTATTATAGTCCTTTAAATGCATTGATTAAATCTATTTTCATAGAGTGAGAAGATTCACGGTGGACATCTAAAGGACAGAAATTTTGAAACTTGGTTAATTGCCATGTATGAAACGTGATCTTCTCTCTTTTTAAAAAACGTAGCTTGCTTTGATGTGTCTAACAAGATTTCTCTTATCAATAAAGAAGTAAAAGTACGAGCTTAGCATCGGCATTACGAAAAAAAATGCTCGTGTCGTTGCAGTTTGGGCATGGTTGAGAAGTACAATTGAGAAAATTCCATCTAGATCGAAGTTAACTTGTAACAAGAAATTGAAAAAAATTTACGATCCTATTTTTTTGGTCATCTTGGTATTTATATCCCTTTTATTATGATAATTAACCAAGTGCATAAATTAAGAATTCAAGAGTTTGCCTACAATTTGTTTTGTTCTTTATATCCCAATTTGGACGGTAATAAATTCATTGATGAATGGCATAAATACTTGTATAAGGAAAGTTATTTTAAATATAATTCACTATGGTAACCATCAATAACAAAAGACCCGACTAGATTCTGGATTAAACGTGAAACGTCACAATCATTCTAATACTTTTTCTGATCACTCACTCACTGCAATAAATTCTTTTTATATATATAAATTAATTTACAATAATATTTATACAATCTAAATTAAACAAATATGACTTCTTATATATGCATTATATTAATAATTATAAATTGGAAGTAAATGAGATGGATTTACATATTGTCTGCACAAAGGACATTCAGGCTTTTTTTCATCATATGTTGTAAAAATAAACAAATTGTTAGTATTAATAACAAAATACAAAAGATGAAAAATCCTAAAGTTACATTTTAATAATAACCTTATTTTGACACCATTCAACAATACATGACCAACAAAATAAATGACCACAAGGAGTTGCTGTTGTGTTTTTACGTGGCGATAAACAAAGTGTGCATTTTCTTGCTGCAACTTCTTGAGGAGTCAAGCCCAAATTAGATGTTAAGGTGAAATTTGTTTCGTTGCTAAATATCATTTATAATTTAAATATTTAAAATTTAAATATCTTTTTAAATATTTAACTTGAAAAAAATTAAATTTCCTATTTACTCTTCATCATCATCATCGCCACCAACATCGCCATCGCCATCACTGTTTATCAAACTATAATTGGAAATATTCATATTTTTATTTCTTTTCTTTCGATATTGATAAGCTTGAATAATTATTTGAATTACAAGTAAAAGGCCAAGTAGTTCATAACCAATTCTTTTTTCTCCTGGACTCAATTGTTTTGTAAATATCTTAAGAAATGGCAAGACAAAATTAGATCAAAAAAAAAAACTGCATAATAATTGATTAATTAATCCAAGCAACATACATATCTGATTCCAGTCACCCTCTTTGATAAATTATAATACGAACCGAAAAAATAAAATATTGCTAAATGTAGAGCATGTACATGATTTTTAATAAAGGTTTGAAATAACGGTAATGATTTGTAGATGAGATTAACAAATTTATCGCGGTTGATTATTGATGATGATGGTGATGGTGATTGATATATATTTTGTGAATTTAATTGTTGTAAAGAAGGCTTTGATTTTTTTCGAAGTTTAGAAATGCTTCGTGTATAAACATAAGGAAACAGAACATGCCAGAAAATTAAAATTGCACGTTTCTAATTTATAATATTTAAAATTTCAATTTGAATTAGAAGAGAAATTTAGTAAAAAAAATTTATCCAAGCTATTAATAGTAACTTTACTTACTTTAACTGATGGTAACTGTTTATCTGGTACAGAAATTTGCATTATATCACAGTATTCTTCTCCTAACGTTTGGGTTCCTAAATATATATAAAATAATAAGCTAGTCTAATACAACTCATAATTGTTTATGAACGATAACTTTTTCCATTTTACCTAATAACGTTGTCAAACAAAAATAGCAAAAATCTGATATTATTGTTATTTCCTTTTGACATTGATGCTGCCTACGAGTTCCTATTTAATTAAATTCAATTATATCACCTTTTTTAATGAGATTGATTTATTATTAAAAAAATAAAATTTTTACTAATTACCCAACAATAAACGAAAGACCTGTGACATTTGCTCTCCTAAAACTCTTTGATAGTAAACATCTTTCTGATTTGCCCTAACTATTAAAAACAATCAATTTTATATATTGATTAGAAATTATAAACTCAATGATCAACATTTGCGGATCAAGCAAGGTGTTAATTCCACTAACTTATGTCAGGTTGTGCCGCCTCGGGAAATGAAAGATTAAATTGTGGAAATGGTAAAATTTTAGTTTGGAGTTCTTGTCCTTGTGTTTGTGAGGTTAAAGCATCACTTTCAAAGCTAGCATTATTAGTAGTAGGTGATGATGTTTGCTGTTCTGATTTAGACATTTAGAATTGATAAAAAGATCTCGGGTTGTGCAACCTGTGCTACCTTATAATAATAATAAAAGTTTTTTTTACGAAGATTTTTTTTTTTTTAGATTTGATTTAAAAATTAAAATTAAACATCAAATATTTTTTAACATGTCGGATAAAAAAATCGCCAAAAGAGCTGGACAACTTACTAGCGATGAAACAGCAAAACAAATTGCACAAGCTCTTTATGATTTAGAGTCCACAGTTGTAGATTTAAAAAAAGATTTAAAACCTTTACAAATCACTGATGCCAAAGAGGTGAGTTCATTCATTACCACTACTAAAAAATTTTTTTTATTAAATAAATTGAATTGTTAATTTAAAAAAAATTTTTTTATTAATGGGTAATTGATTGTTAAAAAATATATATTGATATTTATTAATCAAGTATGAATTAGGCGAAGGCAAAAAAGCTATTGTGGTTTTTGTTCCAGTTCCGCTTTTAAAACAATTTCATAAAATTCAACAAAGGTATGTTCATATTACCAATTTATTATATTTTTATATAATTATTTACTAATAATGCCTATTTTTATATTTATTGTAAAAGGCTCACACGTGAATTGGAAAAAAAATTTTCAGATAGACATATTGTATTTATTGCGGATAGAAGGATTCTACCTAAACCAGGTCATAAATCTCGCGTTAAGCAATTGCGCCCTCGATCACGTACTCTTACCTCAGTACATGAAAAATATTTGGAAGACTTGGTATATCCTACAGAAATTGTAGGGAAGAGAACACGTATTAATAAAGATGGCAGCAAAATCATTAAAGTGTAATGTGTCTTATTATTTTTAATTCCAAAATATCTTTTGATGTTATTCTTTCACTAAATTTTTATAATTTACAGATTCTTAGATAGCAAAGATGCGGCATCATTGGAGTATAAAATTGACACTTTTAAAGCTGTCTACAAAAATCTTACTAGCAAAGATGTCGAATTCCAGTTTCCTGCTCATCCACTTGAATAAAAAAATTTTATTAAAATTTTGATTTCGCTATAAAATTTAAAACTTACTAATATTTATTTGAATAAAAAAAAAAAGACTAATGGCGAATATTTAATACAATTCAATTAATCAATGTAGAATTAAATCATAACCCCAATAATTTAATTTATCATAGATCAATATTCATTAATATATTAAATTTGCTTTTGATTTAAATAGCTTACATCACTCAAGAAAAAAAAAAGTGAATTTGAAATTTTTAATGTGTAACTAAGAAATAAGTAAATAAATCAGAAATTCTGATGATTTCTAACAAAACCACGGGGATAAAACTTTCGAAATATTTTCCAAGGAATTCAAAAGATATTTGATTATGCCTCCAATTACACGGTCACTCTTGATAAAAGAAATCCTTGGGACAATGATCCAGCGTTTTAAATTCTGCCCGTGCCAAATCTGTTTCGTACTACATTACACTTTTAATTTTTTTTCATCCAATTGGGAAAAAAATCAACAACAACATTTATATCATTTGATAAGAGATAAAAAATTGAAAATTTAAAATTAGGAATAAAATAAATAAAATAGTAATGGGACTTTTAAAAAATACCTACTCAACGGATTTTGATGAAATTGGTTTATCTCTCCGTCCAGCTCTCAGGTTGCAATTCAAAACTATTAAAAATATAGCTCAATATTTAGAGTCGCAACAAGATAAATTGAATTTTTGCTTAGTTAATAGGGCATGGACTCCAGCAGCCACCGAAACTCTATGGTCAGAACCAAATTTTAAAACACTTGACTCTCTTCACTCATTTTTACACGTGGTTGGAAATTCAAAAGAATGTGCATTAAGAGTTCGTGTCCTTAACTTATGTGCACCCGATGAAAACAATGTCAGTTCTTTTGTACCAGTTTTACGATCTGCTCGACCAGAACATCAAATAATGTCTGCATATTTTTTATCAAAACCAAATTTCATAATAAAAATTGCCATGTTATGTGAAAATATACAAAGAATTAAAATTTATGGTTGGAATTTATATGACAATCACATACAATCATTATATCAATATTGTTCAGATCTCAAGGAAATTCTGATAATTGGAAATAAAAAACTTACTCATATGGCATTTTTTCCATTAATGAATTGTATTCACGTGCTGGACTTGGATGGCATCTTTGACCTTGCAGATAATTTTGCAATGGCATTGGCAAATAAATGTCCTGACGTTACTTCACTCAAGCTTTCCACTAAAGTAATGACTGAAAAGGGGTTTGATGTATTGGCTAACAAATTGACAAGGCTCAACAATTTAATTTTACAAAATTGTCTCCATCTCACTGATCAAAATATTCAACATTTTGCACAACAAAATTCTAAATTAAAAAATTTTCAATTATTAGGTAAAAGTCTCACTACTAAATCATTCAAAGTGGTCATGGATCATTTGAAAGAATTAGAATATTTTGATTTTAGGTGCCTACAAAAAATAAGTTGCTTATCTACTGAGATACAATGGTTAAAACCACTTTGTCAGAATCTACAAGTAATTATACTTGAAAATTTACCAATTGACGATAATACTATTACAATCATCACAATACATTGCAAACAAATAGTAAAGTTTGCAATTTCAAATTGTCCATATGTCACAGACAATTCAATTAATAGCATTGCAGAAAATGAAAAAAAACTTTCAATAATCGACTTGCATTATTGTCATAACATTACAGACATTTCTCTCAAATACCTAGGTTGTAGATCTAGTGCTTCACTTACTCGTGTTATTATAGAGTCATGTGGTTTCTTTGTTCCAGAAACCATTCAATGGTTTGTTAAAGTTGTTCCAAAACTTGAAAAAATAGTTTTTAACGGAACACCTTCAATTACAAATTCTTTTATTTATCAATTTGCCACTGAAAAGCTCAATGGAAATTATTATTTGATGGATCATACAAAATGTACAATTGAAAAAGAAAATATAAAAAAATTGGCACAATTTCAAAATATGCCTAATATTTTTCAAGGTAACTCAAATTTACTTTTATTATTATGCTAATTAGCAGTTAAAGAAAACCATATATCAGTCATATAATAACAAATTTACATGTAATGATATACTTTTAGAAGATAAAATTAATGAATTGGCAATAGAATTAGGTTTTCCTGCTGATGTCATTGATAATGCTATTAGAAAAGTTTTTGGAAATGAACAACAACAAAGTATTTCTCAAGGAAATAATATTTCAAACCAAATTTCAAATAGAAATGATGACAGTGTAAGAAGCATCATAAATCCTGATGATCAACTAGACATTTCATTACCTCAAAAAGACTATAGTAATCAAGGCTCAATATTTAATGAATTTCAGGATGATTATTTACAAAATATATCAACTACAAAAACTACAGCAATTTCTGAAAGTTCTTCTTCTTCAATTGCTCATTCTGGTGAATGGAATTCCGTAAATGAAAAAAAAACTGAAAGCTTTTTGTTGTCTAATAATATAATTTTACCTGTTCCTAACCATAGTTCACAAATGGAATCCCTATGTGATGATTTAGATTCTAAAGATGAATCTAATAACACAGCGAATAATAATAACACATTTGTTGAAAATAATTTTAATAATTATGATGCTCAGAAAATTTTACCAGTAGAAGAGGAGCCATTAGTTCAAGTTGAGCCAATAGAGTTTGAGTTTGAATCACCATCAAGTAGTAATGTTGATAATTCTAATGTAATAAATGAGGAGAGTCTCGAGCAAACAGATTTAAAATCACAAGAAAATGAATTGAAAGAATCTATAACTTCAAAAAACTGTGATGAGAACATTTCAGACGATGAGATCGAATTTATACAACGTCCCCAAGTAAATAATAATTATAATAATCATGATACTTTTTTCATCAAGCGTAATTTAATTGATAATAACAGGTATAGAAAAAAGGGTCTTTACAATAAAAATTCATTGCCACCGATTCAGATTATTTTAAATCAAACAGAAAAATCCAACAATATAGGTAAAGAAGTTTCACATATCTCCTTCCACTCCGAAAACACCTTATCACAAATAAATTTCAAGGAGGAGGGTGTTAATTCGGTGGCTGAGAATACTAATTTTTCACAGTTGAATAAATGGATTGTTGATAACTGTAACAAATATAAGAAAAATATAAAATATCGAAAGAATTATTCATTTATTAATAATGATTGTGGCGGTGGCGGTGATAGTAGTGTTAGTGTTAATGTTAATGTTAATGTTAATGTTAATGGTGATGATAATGGTAATGTTGATTGTGATATTGATGATGACGATTATGATAAGTTAACTTCTACAATTACGACACTGGTCAAGACAGATCAATCTTCAAGTAATATGGAATCGACAAGTAGTAATGATACAAATAAATCAAATCCACAAAGTGAGAAAAATTATCTTTCCTTTTTGGGAAAGAAATTTTTAATGGTACCGAATGAAGAATGGCCTACTTTAGCTGAAGCTGTAAAAATCAGTGATAACAAAAAATACTCTGGCACTTCATCCTCAAATATAACATCTCCTTGGAATGGCACTAAAAAATGGACCACAGATAAAAAAATCGATACTCCTGAAGCCAAACATGGTAATTCTTGGAATCCCAGCAAGCTGAATCGATCGACATTGATTCCTATACAGAAACCGAAAGATCCTATCAACTTTAAGAAGAAAAAGATACCGTATAATAATTTTGACATAGACGATAATAAGGGATGGGGGCCACCACCACCGATTCGTGGAATTTTATGGAATGATTCCGACCAGATTAGTGGTGTTAATTTGCTCAAAGAAGAAAACAACACAACGTATTCTACTCAAAAAAATAATGCTACTAAAAACAAATTAAAAGGAGTTCAGGAACAAAATAAAGCTGGGATTTCCCAATTTGGAATAAATCATTTGGAAAATAAAGGTATTGAATGCTGCTATTTGGGTGAATTTTTTGAAAAAGCAAAAACGAATCAAATATTAAAAAATCATATATATATTGGTTTTTAGGTAATTCGAACTATGATGGTAGATCAATAAAGGATTACGTGTCATCAAATAATGATGGTCATTTTTCATTAGTTGAATTAAAAGATCACTTTGACAATATTGAGCAAATATGGAATTTAAATAGGATGGATGAACAAAAAAGCACGGAAGATATTCTTTGTAATTTGATTTCATTTATTTGATAGATGTAGATATTTATCTACATAATTTATTAATTAAAATGGTGATGATGAATACGAGCTTGTGTCGTGTATTTATATTATTTAATAAAAATTAAATTTTATCTTGTAAGAAAAACAGATGCTTAATTCGTGACCCGTGATAGAAATACATATTGCAATTAATAGATTTGGGGAACTGTGTAATCGACAACTTTTATTTTTTATTTCCTTTGACTTTCTGGAGCCCACTTATTGGATTTCGAAGGTCTATATAAAGAATCATTTTTAAACAAAGAGCAAGTGGCCTTGCAGGTAATGGTGCTTGTTGAAATTGTGGCAGTATAAGGGTGTCCTTATTGCTCGGTCTCCGGGCACAATTACTTGTGTTGTCGGGTTTATAATCTGTTTTTTGGTCATCCCAATTGTAATAGAATCGTTAGTATTAGATTGCTAAAAAATTAAACAAATCAATATTTTCATTTGATTATTATTATGATGGTTGATTATTAATGAATAAAATGGTGAACAGAGATAATTTTTATTTATATTTAATAATGTTATTTATTATTAACTTTTATAATTATTTTATAAGAATTAATTTTTTACCAATATTTTTATAGTAAAAAGATTATTGTTTATTTTATTATTAATGGATTTATTTTAAATTCAAAGAAAATATATTATTCTTTAATTGTAAAGTCTGAATCGATTGAAATTTGATTTGCAATAAGATATAAAGAAATCATTACTAAAAATCAATCTCTACCCTGAATTACTAATAATTAACAGTTTGATTTTGATATGTAATTATAGCAAGTTTTAGAATAGCAAGTGTTGTTTATAATCAACACTGAATTATTTATTTCCAGATGATCGATCATATATTGCCCTTTTCTATTTTTTATTCTTTCATTTCATTACCATCACCTTCTTCATCTCCGCCATCATCATTTCCGCTTTGCTTTGCATCATTGTTAGCTGAAGGAGGTTTATTTGAACTAGGGATATGACCTGATTGTAACAATTTTTCAAGACGAGCAACTTCTTCCAAAGTTTTGGCATTACGAATGGCTTCCTATTTGTTTTTATTAACGAAAATAATCATCATTATTTTCATTTTTTAATACAAAAATGAATTTTTTAAATAAGTAATTCTAACCTTTATCTGAGCTTGTTCTTCTGTTGACATACCAATCGTGGGCAGATTTGATTTTGGTAGATTAATGTTGGTGGTGGTGGCGGATGAGACTACGCCTTCACCAGGTTCAATAGTTGTTTCTGATATAGATTTTGCAAGTGTGGTTGGCTCACCTTTCGTTGTTTCGAATAATTTTTTAGCTTCCTTACGTTCCTACAATCATAATAACAAAAAAATCACAAATTATTAGTTATGATTTTAAAAATCGAAGAAAAACTTTTGATTTCATACCATATCACGAACTCTTTTAAAATCTATAACTCTAACACTAGGAATCTTCCAAATTACCCAACTTCGATACCATTGTTTCCTGGTTACTGGGTTATCCAGTAAACTTATATATTGTAATCTTTTAAATCCACTCAACGGTTGCAAGTCAGATAATTCAGTTATATTGTTGTTTGTTAAAACCAAAGTGGTAAGGTTGGGTAGAAATTCAAATAGTTGTAAATCTAGTCGATTAATTCGATTATTGGCTAATAATAGTGTATGAACACGACGCAGCAATGGGAAATTGCCCAATATGCGAATGTCATTATCCGTTAGGTCAATTGTGTCATTTAAATCCTTTTTTCAAGAATAATTAATATGCATCATTTGTAAGTATATTACTCATTTAAATATGTATATATAATACCATAATATCAAATTTTTTTCCTGATCATTCATTACCTTTGACACACCAAGATTTTCTATAGAAGGAATTTTATTACCTATTGATGAAAAAATAGCTTTTGAGTCAGGGAACAATAAAAATAAGAAATTTATGTAAAGAAAAAGATGAATGAATGAATGAATGAATGAATGAATGAATGAATATACACACAAGTGTTAACAGAAACAAATAGTCATATAAACTAAGGGCCATGTTACAGATAGTTAATCATTGCCCTTTGTCATTAATTATTTGCTTTTTTGAATTTTCATTGAAAATAGCAATCAATTAAACTATCTAATCAACTAATTAAATCATTAATCTATTCGCTAAAAATTATTTCTTTAAAACTTCTGCATCATTCATCCATTTAATATCCTGATTTATTATTTTTCTAAAGGATACCTCGTAGGTTTAATTCACGATCTTTTACAGTGTTGATGTAAGATGACGAACATTCAATGAGTTCAGGTGTAAGCTTCATCACATACGTTTTATATCATATAAGTACAAAATAAATAATTAACAAATAACCATATAACTTGTTTGTTATATTAATAAGCTGATAATTATTATATTGAGAAAAAAATTTTTTTTTTGCAGATGGGGGAAATATGATCGACCTAATTTGAAAAATAAATTGCAAATCATAAAATCATAAATCGTACAGAATGTACTGTATTAAAAAAGTTAGGACTTGATAGTGATGGTATAAAAGTAATTCCACTTTTCAAACTAGGTAAGAGATGTTGTATATATATATGATAAAGTGAGAAATACGAGTACAACCTAATCATTTTTCTTACTCATGAAATTCAAGATAACGATCAATATTTTTTACAGTGTATGGCAGAGGCTTTGGTGGTTATGTCCTGAGAGCTTAGAGGCCATGCGTAACGAATATGTTGTGTGGATTGTATCATTATTTTTTTTTTCCATTTAAATATATAGTTAAAATAAATGGTTCCAATATCTTGAAATTAAATCAAAATCCATAGCCACTATTGTAAATAATATAATGAATTTATTTGGAGTTTCTTATGCTTACATTTCCATACTGAACTACTTTTAAATAAATAGCAAAGGTCTAAATAAAAGTATTAACAAATTAATTTACACAAACAAATAATTCTGGAAATACTTTAGTAATAAGATTTGTACATTCAGCCAATCAACTGGTTTCTGGATATTTGCTCATAATATCTTCGTACAAACATGGCATGTATTAGTTAATGGTCTAATCTTTACTGTTAATAACCTTTAAAATTAAAAAATATAGATTTTAGATCCTATATGCAAGAAAAAAAACTAGTATGTAAAGTTGCATGGATCTCAGAATATATATTCAGAAAAATTTATTTCAATTATTATTAAAAAAAGTCTTTTTTTCACAAAACATAAAGTATTATGTTAACTCATATAAATTGATCTAAAATACCTTGCTGAAATATATAATAATAAATAAAAATATGTTCTTTGGCAACAAGATTGCCGCAGTAAGTTGATTCAAATTGATCAACAATAACTAAAGCTCTAAACCAATCAGTTCATCTCACAATATTTAGTGATTTAATCTCCTATTTCATATTATCTGGCATTTCTTTCTCCTCCTCCCTTAGTTCCTTAAATGTATTTTTGTTTAATGTTTGTAAAAAACCATTTTCATCTATACCATTAAAGAAAATTACATCATAATATTCTGGTTTTGTTTTTTTCTAGCTGATATTCTATGAATTTTTGTTGAATGTTAAGACCATATACAACCCAAGAAGCATTTTAGTCACAAATGATGGTTTGATCCATATTACATTCTTGTAATGTTTCAAAAGACTAAAGGAATTCTTTTCATTGATTATTGAGAGTTTAATACTGCACATATAACTGCCTGTGCAAATGCTTGGTCATGATTTCCTCCCAAACTACAAACTAAAAGTAGTAGATGGGTCCATATATTCATCCATTTTTTGAATGCATCTAAGACTTTCACTAATCCTGCCTTGATCTTATTTACTAAATCCACATATTCATTTTTTTCATCTAAGTGTTCATTAAGCTCTTCAAAAAAATAATTTCTGGTCTCTCTGGCTTCATTTAATTCCATATCTGGTAATTGATGAACTTGATGACCATTAGGGAATGTTTGAGAGATACCATTATGTTGTATCCTAGTACAAGGGTCTGCTGTAGTAAGAAAATAGGATAGTTGTTCATAGAACCATTTGCCAAATTGAACCATAATTCTAATTAAATTATTCATTTTTTCATCCTGTAACCAGCTGAGAAAAATATGGCAATATCTCTATGGTACATCTTTAAAAAATCTTGCAAACATAAGGTGAATGTCTTTTCTGTCAAGATATTGTTTGGCTGTTTCTAATTGGTAGTGATTGCATTCATGAGATTCACTAAGGGGGTTACACTTATCAAAACAGCTAAAAATCATGTGTTGATCATCTGATTTTGATAAGTGTAACCACTAATCGGCATAATTAGTATAGCCATATGTTGAAATAGGTTTTTAGTAATTCTTCAATTGATAGTTAAGAAGGGTCTAATATAACTTTTAATCATTTCTGTCAACTGCCATTGCTATTGCTGGTGCATCCAGACTGCCTTAACTTCTTTTCTCACTTTACCACCCTCCTCAAAACCTTATGCACCTACACCAGTCAATTTATGCTGGACATTCAAAATATTTCAATACCAAAAAGACCTGATGGGTGTCTCTCAGTTAGGGAGATTTAACAAAATAAATGGTCATTCATTATATGATGTTCCACTTGTTAATGTACCTATAATATTTTCTGAACATAACCAATCCATTCACTTTTAATTTCCAATAAGACATTTGGTTACCTTTACTGCAAATAATGCATCTTGAAATTAAGACATGCCATTGAATAATTAAAATTATTATGTAAGTTGAGCCATGTTGCTGTGTACTATTTAAAACTATTGAGAAAAATAAATATTTTTTCATAATAAAAATATAAAATGTTATCTAAATAATGAGAGTTATCCTTATCAGGTGTTGAATTTGGCTGAAAAGATTATTTCTCATTAACAATAAACCACAACAAAATAATGATTATTATTACCATTAGGTTGTTGTTTTTGGTATTACTTATGTTCTGCATAGCTTGCTCCACCACAAATCCTTCTTCTTTATTAAAATTCATATAACTATATTTTGCTCTTTTACTAATATTAGTATAGTATTTTTAATTTTATTGTTTGATTTTACTTACATTTCTGCAATATCATTTTACTCAAAAATTTAAAAATATTCATTATTGTAAAAAAAACCAAGGAATATAAATAAATTTTTTTATTTAGAAAAAAAAAATGATGTAAAATTTTTACTAATAAAAAATTGTTTTTGTTTCTGTATTGATCATAATTCTTCATGGAGTTTATTATTTTGTATGTCAATTTTATGACATGCAGCTGGTGTGGTCATTTTTATTAAATATTCACATTTTGCTGGTTCTGCAACAGATAATATTTCATTATCTTTACCACACTCAAAATGTATCTACAGATAAAGTAATAATTTTTTAAAAAATTATAACAATAATATAATAACAGTGATCAATATTATTATTATTATTATCATTGCTTACCTTGGCTGAACGATTAGGCCCATTCCAACATCTTGTTCCATTATCATATAATTGTTTCATGTAATATTTTGGATCATCTTTTGATTCAGCTCCATTCCACTTTATAAAATTTCTAAGAAATAAAACAATATACATTTATAAGTTAATAGATAATAAATAAAATATTTTGTTGAAGTAAAAAAATTTATTTCTCTAACCCTAAAGATGATGAAGAATGATCATTATTGCTTTTTTGTTTAACACTTTCTAACATGCAAACAGTATAAGTATACCTGTTTTTTTTTAATATTATAAACAATACATTTAGATATTATCATAATCAATTAACTGATAACAATACATTAAAAAAGAAAAAAATAATACTTACTCTCCAGAATTATACGTAAAACATTCACCATCAAGCTTAGCAAATTCATCTTGTTTTCCATAATCCATAGAGAGTTTACTCTGAATTTCATTAATTTTTTTTTCTATATTTGTTTGTTCCTCATGTGCACTATTGTAAGCGTCTTGAGCAGCAGAAACATCTAATAATTAATTTCACCACATGTAAAAAAAATTTTTTTGTTAATATCTGTGTTAAAAACAATAAGAAAATACAATAATATTATTATTACCTTTAGATTCTTTTTTATTTCCCTTTATTTCTAATGAATCACTTTCACTTTTATCAATTGCATAATCTGCTAATCCAAATGCTTCCAAGACATCATTAACAAACACACGAGATGTTTCAATAATCAAATTCCAATATGAATATTCTATTATTCAAGCATCGAAAAGGCTATTTAAATCATGTCACTTTTTTTGAATGAATATAACCATCTATATATCTACATTTTTTACTTACTAGGCTTTATTTCTTCTTCTACTTTATCATCAGGTATTTTATCATTAGATATTTTATCATTATCATCTACTACTTCATCATCATTATCATCATCACTATCACCATCACCATCACCATCACCATCAACATCATCACCACCATCTTCTTCTTCCTTGTGTTCCTTTTCATAAATACTATCTAAACTTTCGCCCATAGTTTTTTCATATTCTTCCTTAAAATCATCATATTCTTTAATTGCTGATGTAACTGCAAGATCATGATAATTTGGATTATGACCATTCTTTAAATTTTTGAGAATATCAAGCAAGGCTTTAATTTGGTTATGCATCAATTCAATTTTTTCATTTAAAAGATGATTGGTTTCTTTACACTTCCTTAATCTAATAAGATTTTCTAATGATCATAATAATAATTAAAGTATTAAGTAATTTTAAAGCAATTATGATATCAAGATTTAATCAAGAAAGCCTGTCTATCTATCCATTAATTAATCAACAAATAAATTTATTAAACCTTTTGTATTTGTTTGTAATGCATGATTTTTTTCTGCATCTTGAGCTTTCTTTAATGCAGCTGATTAATTGATTGATTTTTTAAGAAAATAATAATGATTAGGTTGTTTTTACTAAATATATGAGTAAATTAAATTTTAATTTTCTACCTAAACGTTCCTGAACCCTTGTCTTTGCAGCTTCAAGTTCAGTTTTTAATCTATTCAGGTTAGCTTCACGTTCTTCCCTTAATTTTCTACCATATTCAATATATTCCTGTTTTTTACGAACTCCCTATATATACAATAGTTAACTGGATCAACCAACACATAATATATTTTATAATTGTGAAAGAAAACCAATTCGTTTATTTATTTATTTATTACCTCAGTTTGAATCTTAATCAATCCTTCAACATGTTTACGATATTCTTCACCAACTTTTTTACAAACATTTGGACATTGAACTTTTCCATCATACTCATCAGATCCATCACAACATTCAGGCTCTTTACAAAAATATTAAACATTAATTAATTACTTGTTCAAAGAAATCATTAAGCTCTTAAATATATAAATTATTAATAATGCACACCACAAACTCCATCATTTACACGACTAGATGGGATATAAGAAGGAATGTGCCCAATATTTTTACAATAAAATCGACCATTTAGACATGCTGATGTACCTATTAATTAATAGAAAACAGAGGAATAGAAATAAAATAATTTTTTATTATTATTTGATCAATCAAAGATTTACCTGGTTCATCTGATCCATCAACACAATCACAATAATCATCGTTAATTGCTTCATGTGGTATTATTGCGGAGCCATCTAAACATCTCCAATTTGAATTCTCTCTTTTATATAAATGTAAATCTTTTTTAAAGAAAAAAACAATTATTTTTCTATAAATTTACTAATAAAAATTATTATCATGCATGACTTACTAGAATTTGCAACACCACGAATATTTTCAATTTGTTCTGCATATATAATTTGCATGTGAGAACATTTTAATAATAGTAAAGATGATGCAATTATTATCTGTAAATTATTCGATAAAAACTTCATTTGAAAAAATTTTAATTCGTGATCTGTGATAGACAGCACCATACATGAAGTCGAAACGATTTAATTTCGGGGGTCTAATACTATATGGTCGAAATCGATTTTGGCCATTTCGACTTTGACCCCAAAAAGTCGAAATGGTCATATCACATGATTTATTAAATTAATAATTTATCTTGATCCAAATTTAATGAAACACGGCTCATTAGAATAGCCTCATAAAGACGATTAGAACGATGGTAATTTAATGTCCATAGCATCAATAAATGGCGAGTTATTGTAATATTATGGTAAACCAAAATACCTCAATGATCAGTGAATTAAATCTCATTGGACTCACCTCATTGAGACAGTTGTTTTATTCAAAATAGCCAGATATCGATCAAGTTATGAGGATTTGAAGCATTTGATTAATTTTCTGTATGCCCAGCTTGTTGTATGATGTAATTCGACCATTTTGACTTTTGATCCAACTTTGATCTCTTAGGTCGAAATATTTTGACTTTTGGGGTTTCAATTTTGACTTCATGTATAGACATCACTATTTTAGCAAAAAAAGGGGTACATAGTACCCAGATTATTGTAATTGAGGTAAGTAACACCCAGGTTCCTCGTTTTTTTTTATTAAGAAAACAGGGTCTAATATCTTTACCAACATGGTATTATGTAAAAAACACAAATTTGATCAAAAGACATGGGGTTGTTTTTGCTGGAGACAGTCCCATTTGAAGTAATTTGTCAATAATTTAGTATTAGTAATAAGCAGGGTCTTTAGAAAATTTATTTGAATAGAAAAAGACACAAAACTTTCTATATCAATTACAATTTAAAATTTTTGCTTTGTAATTTCATGACATAAAAATTGCTTTACCTGATTTTGGATATGACTTGTAATAAAAATTTCTATACCCAAAATAGTCACACCACTTATTTTCATAAAAAACTTTATCAAACTGGATGCTGCTCATGCATCAGTCAAAACAAGATTCTTACTAAATTGACCAAAACAATGTTGTGCTGTTACTATTACTATAATACCTTATTATTTTTTTTAACACAAATAAAAAAAAGAAAATTTGCCGTGCTACTAACTTTTTCTAAATTCCGTAATTTTTTGTCGATTTTGCAAATTAATTTCTTTTTTTTGTTAAGTTCTGTTTGGTTTTT